AAGTCCAAAGGCTTGTGTATTAAAGGGAAGAGGAAGCAAGACAGCAAGTGTGGTTTTACTTCTCAAGGAGTGGACAAGTAGCTGGGAGCTAGTGTGTCCAAGAGAGGTTTAACTTACCAAGGGAGGAAGAGAGAGAGGGCAATCAGTTCAAGTTAGGAGCTGAGTTGGGTCTTGAGAGTCTAGACACCAAGGAGGGAAACACCAAGTGTGTGAGAGTATTCACAAGTGCATCAAAGTGTTGAGCAAGGGGTGAGAGAGAAAAGAGAGCTTAGGAGAGAATAGAGTTCTAAGGAGGTTTCTTTGTAAACCAAAGTTGTAACCTATTCTTTCATTAGTGAATTTCTCAAGGGGATCACTAAGAGGATGTAGGCAATTGCTGAACCTCTAAAATACTTGTGTCACTTTGTACTTGGTTGGTTTCTCAAGTGTGTGTGTGTGTGATTCATCCATCCTTGCGTGTGTCACAAAGTCCATCAACAACAAGATCATTAGGGGAGTGAGTGAAAGTGTTTGTCCAATTTTCACAACACTTACTCCACGTGGATCAGCTCATTTCATCCCATCGAGATCCAGGTAGCCTTAATTGTATTTCTAACTCAAGCAGTCTGAGAGATTTGTCAGATGAGAGCAACAATCAAAGTGGGATTTATGATTGTCCAAATGTTGATGTTGGTAGTGCTGTAAGCACTGTTATTGACCCTTCTGTTTCAAGTACCATACTGGATGAGTTTTCTACACTAAAGAATGCAAATTTCCACAACCCCTCAGATTGCTTGGTTGGTAACCTGAGCTCGAGCCAGGATCTTCAGTCTCAGTTTACCTCTGCCAGCCTAGGCGACTCCCAGGCTTTCTCCAAGCAAGACCTGGCAGACAACTCAGGCGGTGCATCCTCAAGCAATATAGATCTTGATGAGAGCAGTCTACTGCAGAACAACAGTTCATGGCATCAAGTGGTTCCACCTATGCGAACCTATACAAAAGTGTGCATTTTTTCGATTCCTTAAATTTACGATTTTTACCAGGTAATCAATCTTATCAACGGAGTTTAATGGATTTGGTTTTTGGCTGATAGGTACAAAAGACGGGATCTGTTGGGAGGTCAATTGATGTTACCAGTTTCAAAAACTATGAAGAACTATGTTCTGCAATTGAATGCATGTTTGGACTGGAAGGGCTGCTAAATGACCCAAGAGGTTCAGGGTGGAAATTTGTTTATGTGGATTATGGGAATGTCGTTCTACTCGTTGGGGATGATCCTTGGGAGTAAGTAAACCAACTTGCTGCTATTAATTTAGATTATACTTCCAGTTTCTGAATTCTAATGGCTTTCACTTGTGGATATATTTGCAGGGAATTCGTTGGCTGCGTTCCCTGTATCAGAATCCTTTCACCTACAGAAGTTCAGCAGATGAGCGAGGAGGGAATGAAGCTTCTGAATAGTGCTACAATGCAAGGGATTAATGGCACCATGTCCGAAGGTGGCCGCCTCTGACCGTACCAGATTGCACGATTGGTTTGCAACTAGGATGCATTGTTGAGGTGTTTCCGGCTTGATGGTGCCTGATATATTGATCTTACTGTGCATTCAGAAAACTCAAGCGAGGTCAGTTGATGCGGCTACTAGTTTACTTTAGCTTTTGTGCTTTAAGTGGGTTTGATGTATTATTAGTTAGCAGGAAGTGAAACTAGATGAGGAAACTGTACTAGTGTACTTGGAACATTTATATCTACTGAACATGGCATAGTCGAAACTTTTATACAGTTGAAGCAGACTATAGACATAAGGTACCTTCGGTCTCTGAAAGAGGTTATAAAACTAAATGGTTTATTTATCCATACTTTTCTTGGCTTAAAGCTTGAAGCCACAGAATTGAAATTACCAGTACAAAGATATTTGATAACTGATTCTTCAACTTCTTGGGGGAAAACCCAGACCATGCTAACAAACTAGGATAAGAGAAGGCCATACATATTTGAATGCTAAAATACATCAAACATTGAATGCCTTAATACTTTCAAGAATACACTATGATTCTTTCATTTCCTAACAATTCATTGTCCAGAGAACAGAACAGCTA